ACACACACACACACTACATTACTGCTTCTAATAGCATTACAGCAACAACAGTAATCATAATAATAATTTAAAAAAATATTGATTACCGGTATTATGATTTAAATATAAAAGGTTAGTGATTTATATTTGTTTATTTTTTATTATATTTTAATTATTAAATTATTATATAAAGTATTATAAATGGACTCCTATTTATACACTACATTACTGCTTCCACTATTAATCATTAACAACAGTAGTTATTGTTATAATTATTCTGAAAATATAGATTGTTTATATTACTAAAGTATAAATACACTATTTTAATAATATTTAATTATTATTATATTTTAATTGTTATGAAATTATTATCAAAATATTATAAATGGACATTTAGTTAAATAAATAATATTGTGTGTGTGTGTGTGTGTGTGTGTACACACATATATATACATACACACACATATATATATATATATATATATATACATACACACACACACATAAATAGAGTAACAATAAAGTAGAAATCTAAAATTGTATGTATATTAATTTCAAATATACAAATATATATTATCTTCAATGAACTCATGACATCTTTGTGTGTGGAACCGGTACTGCATAACCATAATTATAAAAATGAAATTGTAAGAAAATATTAAATATTGATAATAACTAAAATGTGCATTTTTATTTACAAAAATAAATACAAAAATAAGTTTATTTAAATGTACTATGTATAAATATAAAAATATTATATTAATTATATATATATATATATATATATATATATATATATATATATATATATATTAAACTGATCAATAAATACTATATTTAAAATATAAACCTTTTTTAAATAGCATATAAATAACAAACTATATAGTGTGAGGACAATCAAATATTCTTTAAAGAATTCTCCACCCTAAAAAAACAAATAATAATAATAATAAAGCTTTTTAAAGTTCACAATCGAAGCGCATAGTCAACTCAATATGACACATTTCCCCACTGAAATCATCAGATTATCAGTTATCAGATGAAATACAAAGCAGACTGTGTTTTTATCATATTGTCTACAAATGAGCAATAAATTATCAGAGTTTAAGAAAAATAATAATTCAGATTTCAGCTTTTTCTTCCCCTCGGTATAAACGGCAGGCTGTGTGTGTGTGTGTGTGTGTGTGTGTGTGTGTGTGTGTGTGTGTGTGTGTGTGTGTGTGTGTGTGTGTGTGTGTGTGTGTGTGTGTGTGTGTGTGTGTGTGTGTGTGTGTGTGTGTGTGTGTGTGTGTGTGTAATACTGATATTGTCCACCATCCAGTGCCAATATGCAAGAATACATTTTAATATTCAGAGGCTTTATGTGTCAGTCAACATGACAGACCCCCCGCCTCTGATCCAAATGCAGAAATCACTGCGCTTCTCTCTCTTAAGAGCGGCTGAATCTGCTGGAGAAATCTGCCAGACCAACACAATCCAGCTGTGTGTGTGTTTATGATCAGGAATGGGCTTTACCGAGGAGAACAGCCCTTTATTTATTTATTTGCTTGTTTTTTTGTTTGTTTATTTTTTAATTAATTTATTTGCTTGTTTTTTTGTTTGTTTATTTATTTATTAATTAATTTATTTGCTTGTTTTTTTTGTTTGTTTATTTATTAATTAATTTATTTGCTTGTTTTTAGTTTGTTTGTTTATTAATTAATTTATTTGCTTGTTTTTTTGTTTGTTTATTTATTAATTAATTAATTTGCTTGTTTTTTGTTTATTTATTTATTTGCTTGTTTGT